CCCCAAAACCCCAAAACCCCAAAACCCCGAGGGTCAGCAAGGTTTAAAAAGAGGGGAATTAAATAAATATATATTGTTTAATTAATTCCCTCCAATTCTAAATATCAAATGTCATCAACACATTACTATGATAATGAAAGAATTAAGCCACTTGTGACTTCTTTTATTAATGCCAATTTCGACTTCGAGGCCATACCACTTCAACTCAAGAAGTCTATGAGAGTCGGTGTTTAGGAACATATAGCTTTCTTCTGGGTAAACGATGGTTACCACTTTTTAGAAGCTGTTTTCACTAAGGAAGCGGTAAATGAGTTCCGCAAAAATTGGCCTCATCTTAAGTTTATTGGCCTCAAGGAAAAAATCTTACTTATCACCAAATGGAGCCTGAGGATAAGAGAGGCTGACTCTAGAAAACTATTCACATCATATCAAAACCTCCAAATTCAGATAGTCATTGAGGGTTTTAAGCCAATCTTGCATGAGAAGCCAAATCCTAAATAGCATTTTCAAGCTACAAACATTTATCACGATGAGGAAATTTAGACTTATTTAAGACATAAAAGACATGAAATGATTAGAGGATTCCTATCAAATCATATTTTCTTTAGGACTAAGGGAGAAAATAAACTTGAACTCCCTAGTATCAAACTAATAAAGAAGCAACAAAGCTAGTATGAATTGTTGAAAGTATAGAATGACAGTTCAAGCGACAATGAGATGCTTGATTTAGCTGATGAGTAAGATAAAAATGTGAAGTAGTAGAAAGTGGAAGCAGACTTGCACAATTCAAAGTTAATTAAAAGGTTAACTGTAAATATCAGCGAATAAGAAGTTTTCAGATGTTAGATGGCTGAAGTGCAAAGAGAACAATTAATTGAAGATGAATACGACTTCAAGGAATTTAAAGAGAAATTCTCTTACCATACCATTAATGATAATCAATAAACAGCAGCTTCCTCTTAAGTATCAAAATACACCATTTCAACATCTACTGATTTAGATGAGAACCCAAACATTGCTGATTTGAAACGTTATATCATCCAAGAAATGGGTGAAGATGAATTCAATTCACTAGTCAAAAAGAAGACTGAAAGACTCCAAAATCAGTTGGAGGACGAATTTGAAAGAATGAAAATCAAGTAAAATCTAGAGTATTACAGTAAAGAGCAATCAAGAGAGGAATTCAAGAAGGAAATGGAAAGGAAAATACAGGAAAAGCAGGATAAAAAAGAGAAAGCCATTAAGAAGAAGATTGTGAATTATAGAATGTAATTATCGACCAACCAAATAAAAGAGAAAGTCTTGAGATTCATGACAACATTTGAATCTGTTTAAGGCAAAGAAGGAGAGTAGTAGAAATCTATTAATGCAATGGCAACAATTGAGAAAAGGGAGATCCCAGAAACAAGATTAAGATCATATTCTCAAGAAAATATAGTCAGAGATCAATCTGAAATATTGGAAGCAAGAAGTATGGTGAGCCATATAAATGCATTGAGTTAGTATCAATGCAGAAAAGTTGGCTACAGAGGCGATGAAACTGAATCTGAGCATGAGGAAGATATGAGCATGTTGGTAGAAACAAGCAAGAAAACTGTCAAATTACTTCAAAAAATCTAACCAACAATATCAGTTTTTAAGCAATATCTTTCATGGTTTGCTGCAAATGAAGTTATTTCAAAAAGAAAGTATGATGAAGAGCTAGAATTAAAAAGAATTTAAGAAGAAAGAGAAATCGAAATACAAAGAATAAGAGATATGGAGGAATAAAAGGAAAGAGAAATTCTTGAAGAAAAGGAAAGACAAAGACAACAAAGAAGAGAAGAATAAGAAAGATAGAAATAAAAACGTTTGGAAGAAAAATAAAAGAGGCAAGCTTAAATTCTAGAAGCCTAATAAAAAGCCAAAAAAAGAGTAATTCAATCTTCAAGTGAGGATAGTGATGCTGAAATGAAATAAGAAAGTGAAGAAGATGATCTTCTTGAAAATCAAAAGCTTACTAGCTTCATTGAATCTGTCAATATGTTTACATCAATTCCAGCTGTTAAAACCAACCCAAATTAGGGGTTAGAAAAGCTTTTGGAAGAGGTCAAAGTAGAGATAAAATCTGCTGATCTTATTTAAAATGCTCCCAAAGAAAAATAACCATCTCCAGAATAAGATTAAATGATAAAATAATAGACACCACAGATCTAACAACAAGTACCAGAAATAAATGAACCTAAAGTTAGTAGGATTGATGAAAGGTTAAATGATTTAAGCTATATCTTAGATGATAAAGAAAGCGATAAAGAAGTTACTGATTAAGAAGAAGAAGAAGAATCTGAAATTGAAAATGTCTAACCAACAATAAAAAGTTAAGAATAATCAACATTTATGCCGATAGCTATGAGTAGGAATGTTCAAATAATTTCTAGTCAAGATTCAGAAGAAGTCAATGAAGTGACACATTTCTAGCAATAATAGTAGCAGACATAACAAACTATAGAGGAATAAAGTGAATAAGATTCTCTAATCTTAGAGGTTAGAGATGATAAAACTTAAAATTAGCAAGTAGAAATATGCACATTCAATGAAGTGCCAAAATCTTAAGATAATTTATTTGGCTAGTAATAATAATGCTAGTAAGATAACGATGTAATGTCCATTTAAGAATAGGAATCACAGCAAAATTAGGAAATCTATACTCAATTATAAGAGCCTGTAATCACTAGCTAAAATCAAAGAAATACTCCATAAACTGATGATGAAGAAATCTAACTAGGCAAAAAGTCTCAGAAGAAAACAGCTTAAAATGAAGGTTTCCAGCCTACCAAATAATTAATTCAAAATATGGTTGTAGTTCAAGACTAGTCATCTCTGCTATAGATGCAAATGGTAATGCCTATGCCAACAGTAGAAGTATAAAGTTAAACACTGAGATAATCCTAATAATCTCAATAAAGCAGCCAATAGCTTGTTATTAGCTAACCACTAATGCAGACTATGGAGAAAGAAAATGACTGTGGTGGGGTAATGACTGACGAGTCTGAAGAAAGAGAAAGATTACAAAAAAGCTAGAAATCAATGTGGATGATTCAAGACAGATAAAGCACATCGAGAAGAAATCACAAAAAGTAGGATAAAACACCGCTTAAAGTGATCAAAAAACTTTATAAGAATGATTACAGTTCTGGAGATTAGGCTGATAACGACGATGAAGATAGTGAAGTTGAAAGGAAAAAGAGATAATCTAAAAAGCAAATGTAAAAGCAACAGTAATAAACTCAATAATAACAGTCATTCTAGTAGCAACATCAACAGTAGTAACTATTATTACAGTAATAACAATAACTCCTAAATCAAAGTCAATAGAATCTTTAACCAAATCTAATATACTAATAATAATTGCATCAATAGTAGCTGCAAATATAATAGTAACAATAGCAATTACTTTTATAATAGCAGCAATAAAAGAAGTCCATGCAAATGCATCAGTAATAAACACCTCATTTATAAACTTAATAGATGCTTGACAGATAAAGAGTTTAAGCTCAAATGCCTTAAACAATGTATCAAGATATTAGCTAGACAATGTTTTAATAGCCAACAGTCCCATCTCAGTAACAACCATAATTCCTTCCATAAATTGCGTAGTTCGGTTAGCTGCCTTAAATATAACCTGGTTATCAATAAACAGCTTCAAATGCATCCCTTATTTCGTAAAATCTTGCACTTAAAAGACAACTTGAAGAATTAAAGTATCTTGCAAGTATCAGCCAACCATAAAAAAGACAAAAAAAATGAAACTATGTTGGGATACAGAAATATGTTTCAAATTGATGAATGTTAATAAATTAAATGCAACTTAAAAATTCAAAAAAAATATGATTTATAATCAATTTTTATATCTTATTTTTTCTCGATTGAACCTTATTAATTTTCGTTGGGGTTTTGGGGTTTTGGGGTTTTGGGGTTTTGGGG